CATCCAGAAATGAAAAAAATTGAAAACTCAATAAAGCTGTTTAACTGCAGATTAGACAAGGCTGAAGAGAGAATTAGAAGAAATTAATGAGAGAGGCAAAGTGTAAAGACGAAACCAAACCTGCTGTAGAGTTTAAGAGACATGAAGAATAAAGTGAGAAATCAATATCAAAGAAGTAACAATAACTAGAACTAATAAAGATATCGATCCACATATTAAAGCCAAACAAATCTCAAACCATATAAATAAAAAGAAATTCAAGCTGATAAACATGATGAAACTGAAGACTCCCCCCCAACAAGAAACACCGTAGAAGCATTAAGAGATAAGAAGGAATGATACAAATGAATAATAGACTGACAACTGACTTCTACAACAGCAACACTGGAAGCCAGTTTTATTTGTGTAACAAATCAGAAAGAATAGGAGGCTCCCATCTACCTCCTGTCACCATGTACACATGGCCTCTCCACTAACAACATCTCATATCACACTGACACCTTTATTATAACTGAAGAACCTACATCGGCACATCATTGCCACCCAAAGTTTACATTAGAGTTCACTCTTGATGTTATACTTTCTATGTGTTTTGACAAATGTAGAATGATATGTATCTACCATTATTACATCATACAGAATAGTTTCACTACTCTAAAAACCCTCTGTGCCCCATCATCATTTCAAACACATTACTCCACTTCCCTGAAATTTTCTCTTCATCTGCTTTCCCAAACACACCTTGTCTATGCTTCTGTAATAAAAAAAAATCCAAATTAGACTCAAAGTTTTCCCATAGTTGTAAAGTGAATCGTACTTTACTAAATAAAAATTAGAATTTATCAAGTATCTTTCAGGGGGTGGCACTGGGGTTTAAGGAAACAGTATCTTTAATATGTTAAAAGAATTCTAGTGCTGCTGGACCTGTGTGTTGCAAGCTGGGGACATAGGTCTCTATTCTGGAGACTGGGGTTTGATAAAGTTGTCAAAAGTAAGACCTGCTTTAAGAGATACCAAGTGAAGTTTAGAGGATGATGAGAGGGTAAAACTGACCACTATGTTCGGAAACACTTGGTGATCCAGGACAAAAATAAATATAACATCCTCAAATGCAGGTGACAGTTCTTATGCCTAACAGAGATATCATTGTTAGATTGCTTGTGCACGATTAGAAGGAGATATGATATGTGCGCAGCATATACACACAAACTACCAAAACATGGTGTGAAGATTGGCATCACAAATTATGCTGCAGCCATTGCACTGGCCTGCTGCTGACCCACAGGCTTGGTCAATAGGTTGGGCACAGACAAAATCTCAATAGGTGGAGGGCCAAGTGGAGGTGACTGGAGATGGATGCAATGTGGATAGCACTGATGGTCAACCTCTGCCTTTAACTGCTATTTGGATGCAGGTCTTGCCAGAACTACATCTGGCTATCAAGTTTTGGGGGCCCTGAGGGGAGATGTAGATGGAGGCTTGTCAATCCCTCACAGCACCAAAAGATTCCCCAGTTATGATTTTGAAAGCAATTTGTTCGATGCAGAGTACTTTGGAAGCACATTACGGGTCAGATTGTTTCAGATTACATGCATTACCTAATGGAAGAAGAAGATTCTCTCAGTACATAAAGAACAACGTAACTCCAGACATGATGGAGGAGATGTCTAAGAAAGCCTATGCTGTTCTATGAGAGAATCTAGTCTATGAGAAGAGAGAAAAGTTAAAAGAAGAGGTGGAACCATCCCAAAATTTCCCTTGCCCAGAAGAAAGATTGGGTGGTTCAAAAGAAGGCAAGCTTCCTCAGGAACTAGCTGCTGAGAGATAAACCAAACAATGTTCTATAAAGATTATTTTTCCAATAAAGACAATAAACTTATTGACCAAACAACTTAAAATATGCTAAAAGAAAATATATTATAACTAGAATTCTACATCCAGTAGTGCTTTAAGAATAAAGGCAAAATAAAGATTATTTTCAAGCTAATCCTTGTGGCATACACCTGTAATCCCAGCATTCAGGAGGCCAAGGCAGGAGGATCATGAATTCTAGTCCAGTCCAGGCTACATAGTGAGTCCTTGTCTCAATAAACAAAAAAAATTTTTTTTCTTTCAGTCAAGAAAAATTAGACATTTCACCACAAATAGATGTTTTAGTAAAGGAAACTCTAAAGGGTATATTTTAGATAAAAGGAAAGAATTCCCAGATACAATTCTAAAGCAAATAAAATGAGAGAAAAATAAAGTGGTACGTATGTTGATAAATATAAATGAGCACTTTCTCTACAATACAGTAATAGCAATATCCTATGATTAAGCAATTCATGACAATAATGCCATGTGAACAGGAGTGAGATCAATGAGGTTGAGGTGTCCTAAGGACCTTGTATTGTCCAAGAAAAAGATGAAGGTACTGATTTACTTTAGAGTCTGATAAATTAAATACCCATGTTGCAATCTCTAGAGAAACCACTAAAGAAATACAAATAGACTATATGATATCAAAACACAGTATAAGAATAGCAAAGAGTAAACTAGAAAAAAATGTTTAAAAAATTAAGAAGCTGATGAATTTCACATGGGTCAAAGATGAAATAATGAAAACTAGAAAATATTTTGACTGCAATATAGTTGACTATTTTACACATACGTAAATCTACTTGTGTGTGCATGTGTGTGTGTCTGTGGCCTGCAGTTCACCATAAGAAGGATAAGTCCCTATTTCAGATTAATAATGTATAAGTTCTCCCAAAAGATATCTCATTCTATTTGACATTGTGACTATAAAGACTTTGTTCTTTTCTTTCATTTTAGAGAATTCTGCAAAGGAAAAGGAGATGGACAGATTTCAAATGGTCACATGTAGCCACAATTCCATTAAGCCATGTTAAGCCTCTGTAAGAAACAGCACAATCTAATGTTCTACATCTTCCTTTTTTCCTTTCTTTAGGCATTTTAAGTTTATCATAAAAAAAACCTGATAATCCCTACATGTATTTTGTTTCAAGCACAGAGCAGAATCATTTACAAGTCATCTATATTTTTGAGAATTTTCCCTGTTTTTAAAGACCTTCTAGTTGGGTGTGGTGACCCATGCCTGCAATCCCAGCATTCAGGAGATAGAGACAAAAGGACCATAAATTCAGTACTAGCCTAAGCTACAACATAGCAAGTTTGGGTTACCTAGGGAGATACTGTCTCAAAAACAAACAAACAAAAAATTCCCAAAGATAACGTTCTCTTTTCATTCAGAAATGTAGTTACACTTGAAATGTTTTTGTAAGCATTTCAAGAAAGTTCTTCACATTAACCCAAGTTAACCTTACAATGAAAACCAGTCCCTGTCTGCCATGTGACTTCAATCTCTTTTCCCCCTCATTAATCCAACTGAAGTAAAGCAATATTTATTGTGGCTTAGAGAGGAGATGCACAGAAAATGATCAAAAAATTCTCAAATCTACTCATGTGTGGGGATGTGGGGGCGTGTTTTGACTCATTTTGTGTTAGAGGTAGGAAATTTTAAGCTTGGTATAGTATTTGAAGCAGAAAATTAGCTTAATTATAACAACAACAAACAAAACATTCCCCAACTGGACATTTTGGCAAATCACATAAATGGGAAATACATTTTGCTTTCCTGAATATGTATGAGTTCATCAGTATGCCAAATAAAGAGCTTTTTTTTTTTTGGTCTCCCAAAAGAGTGTGAATTTTTAATGGAAAGTTATCAAAATGAAAAAAATAATATTTTATTCATATATTTAAAATATTTTGGAAAGAATTTTAATTTCCAGAAACAACTTGCTAAATGATAATTTACAGGAGTTTGTTCACCTTATGTAATACTACTCTATCCCAATAAATATGTAGCTCCTGAATTCTCATTTGTTTGAAAAAATTGTCATTTTCTAGAGTTTTATGGTTTCAGATATTACATTTAGATTTTTTATCCATTTTGAATTGACTTTTGTCTTTGTTTCAAATTTTTTTGCATATGTGATTCAAATTTTCCATCATCATTTATTGAAGAGACTGTCCTTTCCCATTGTGTCTTTTTGGTGACCTTGTTGAAAATTAGTTGATCATGTATATTTGGTTCACTTTTGAACCCTTTAATGAGTTCCACCCATTTATGTGTCTGTTTTTATGCCAGTATGATACTGTTTCAATTACTATAGCTTTGTAATATAATTTTAAATCAGGAAGTTTGATACCTCAGACTTATTTTTTCTCTCAGAATTGCTTTGGGTCTTTTGTGATTTTATACAAATTTAAGATTGTTTTTCTATTGCTGTGAAGACTACCATTGGGATTTTGATAGGAATTACATGAAATCTAAATATTACTCTAGATTGTATGGACATTTAAACAATATTAATTCTTCTGATCCATGAGCATGGAGTAACTTTCCATTTATTTGCATTCTTTTCAATTTCTTTCATTGATGTTTTACAGTTTTTAGTGTAGAGATCTTTAACTTTTGTGGTTAAATTTATTCTTGTTCCTTGACATTGGCTTTGTTACTAATTTCTTAGCTGTCACATCAAAATCTCAAGCTACAAAATAAAAATAAATAAATAAATGGGACTACATTAAACATAGAAGCTTCAGCACAGGAAAGGAAACTAATAAAACAAAAGGCAACCTACACATTGGGAAAAAATATTTGCAAACCATTTTTCAGATAAGGGTTAATATCAAAGATTTACAAAGAACTCAGGCAACTCAGCAGCAAGAAAACATACAACCTGATTTTAAAATGGACAAAGACACTGAGTGCTTGGGAAACACAGTGAAACCCATTTCAGAAAAAAAAAAAGTGGGCAAAGGTACTGAATAGACACTTCTCCAGATATGATATCAAAATGACCAAAGGTACATGAAAATATGCCCATCTTTACCTATCACCATGGAAAAATCAAAACCATTAACAGATGCCACCTTAGATGTGTTAGGATAGCTATTATCAAAAAGACAAAAGACCTGTTAGTGCTGGTGAAGGTGTGAAGAAAAGGAAAGCCTTGTCTGCTGTTGTGAGTCTTGTAGATTGGTGCGGTCATTGTGGACAATAGTATGGAGATTCCTAAAGAAATTATAGAGTTACCATATAACCAGGCAATCCCCCTTATGAGTATATATCTGATTGCAATGAAATCACCATCTGGTGAAGACACCTTCACTCCCACGTTAACTGCAGCATTATTCACAATGGCAAGATATGGAAACAACCTAGATGGCCACCAGAGCATCAATGTGTATATGTACAATGGAATATTATTCAGCTTTTTAAAAAAAGCAGACCCTTTTATTTGCCATATCATGAATGGATCTGAAGGACAATATGCTAGATGAAAAGAGAAAAATATTATATGACCTCAGTTACATGTGGAATCTATTTTTCTTTTTTGGCAATGCTGGTGATTAAACTCAGGACCTCACACTTGCTAGTCAAGTGCTCAAGTACCACTTGAGCCATACCCCTAGTCCTTTTAATTTTTAATTTATATTTCAGATAGGGTCTTCAGCTTTTGCCTGGGCCTGCCTCAGACCACAGTCTTCCCACCTTCACCTCCCAAGTGCTGGAATTACAGATGTGCACCACCATACCCAGTGAATCTTTTTTTTAAAGGCCAAACACAGAGACTGAATAAAACAGTGGTTCCTATTGAGGGCCAGGTAGCGGGGCATTAGGTCAAATGATGCAAAGTAGCAAATATGTAGGATAAACAAATCAAATTTAAGACTTCTATTAAGAGCGTATTGTATTCAAGATTTTTACAAAATGTGTAGATCGTAGCTACTCCTCACGGGGGGAAATGAGTAACTATGTGAGATGATGAATATCTTAATTCACACCGTATGGTATTCATTTTACTATAAAAGTCAGGCGCTGGTAGCTCACACCTATAATCCTAGCTACTCAGGTGGCAGAGATCAGGAGGATTGAAGTTGAAAGCGAGCCCGGGCAAATGGTTCGTGAGACCCTATCTCGAGAAAACCTCTCTCAGAAAAGAGCTGGTGGAGTGGCTCAAGGTGTAGGCCCTGAGTTCAAACTGCAGTATCAAAAGAAAGGTATCTTAGAACATCATTGTGTATCTTACATCTACACATAAAATTTATTTTCCAAAAGAGGAAAAAGCATTTGTATTTGTAAAGCAACACGTGATAATAAGATCTAACTTCTAAGAGAAAGCACATTCCCTCCAAACTTCCTCACTTTGGAAAAACACAGTAGATTAGAAGCAGACTAGTTATTTATAATGAAACACATGAGGGCAAATTCTGCACCAATAAATTTAAAGTCATCAAATTCGTTCCCAGTGTGTCTCATTGTTCTTAGCTCTCCTTCTAACCCAGCGACTGAAATGAGTCATTTTTTGTGATTGTTTTTACTTAAAAATGTGAATTTATTTTGTTAATAAAGTAAATTAATTACTGTGTTTATAGAAAGACAGCTTCCATGAAAGAAATAGAAAAAAAAAAAGCTTCTAAAAGCTAATAGGGTCTGGTGGGTGGCACACACCTGTAATCCCAGCACTTGGGAGTGTGACACAGGAGAAGGGCAAGTTGGTGGTCATTCTGGGCTACATAGTGAGACCTAGTCTCAAGAAAAAAACCAACTAATAGGACAGGAACTTTTGACTTTATACTAAAATGCTTAATAGGCTTAATTTTTCAAGAATGGTACCATGTCTCTTTAGCGATCAATCCAACAATTTCCCCTTTGTACAAAATGTGCCCATTGACCACTAACCCTTAAATTAGACTACTCATGCCTTAAGTTAGAGGAGATTGTTACTATATTGTAGGCACCCAGGGGTTCTCCATTAGTGTGCAAGTCCACTGCAATTAAAGATAGAAAGGGAACAGAGTCCACCTGAACGTGTACAAGGAAGCTGGGCAGAATGTAATTTAATTAATAGAGTTGGAATTCATCCAGGACTCCACCTACCATAAGGAAAGTACCCTGGGATCTTTAATGACCATCAGCGGTCAGGATTTCAGTTTTACAGGTTATCCAATTAATTACCAAGCACATCTTTTCTATACCGTTAGATGGCAGGACTGGGGAATCCACTCTGCTAATTAAGAACTTGGGGCCTGTGTTAGTTTCCCAGAGGATTTTTCAGGGTGTGTGGGTATGAGTACGTAGTCATGTAAACACACTTAATAAGAGGGACTTCCATAATGGACAACAAGCAAGACATTTCAGCCATTTCTGTTCCATTAAAGTTGGACAGTCTCTACAGTGCAAGTCAGACCAGGATTGAAAAATGCTGGACTCTGGGAAGTTTCTAGAAGTCATTTCTACTGTCTACTATGATGAAGTATAGAACGTAAAAACTACTCTTCACAGTCTCAAATGCCCTCTGAAGGAATTCACCCTCAGACTTTTATAGAATATCTTCCTTCAGGACCTCTGAGAATTCTTCAAGGTGAAACTGCAAGGTAAAGATTCTCACTTTTCACATTTTTACATTAAAATATGAGCCTGCCTTCTTCAGTTTCCCCTTCTTTTAAGGAAAGACCGTGATGCTGCCATCTCAGAAAAAAAAAAGTCTGAGGAATGATCACTATATATATTTTTTTCCCTAAGTGAAAAATAGGAGGGTTAGAGGTGTGGCTTAAGGCATACAGCACCTGCCTAACATGTGCAAAGCCCCAAGTTCAAACCCCAGTACTACCAAAAAAGAAAGAAAGAAAGAGGAGAGGGAGGGAGGGAGGGAAGAAGGGAGGAAGGACAGAAGGAAGAAGGAAGGAAGAAGGGAGGGAGGGAGGAAGGACAGAAGGAAGGAGGAAGGAGGGAGGGAGAGAGGGAAGGAGGAAGAAAGGAAGGAAAGGAGAGAGGGAGGGAGGGAGGAAGAAAGGAAGGAAGGAAGGAAGAAAAGGCTTTTCAAATAGACTACCTACCTAGCTCAATAATTTCTCAACATCACTCTACTGACCAAATGCATCCAAATCACTTTGAAGTTTATCAAAAATAGACATTCTGAGGGTCTAGTCTAGATGTACTGCATTCATAATGATCAACTGTGGGAGCCAGGTATTTAAAGTCTCACCAAGCCTTCAAGGTCAGTCAGTTTTTCAGAACCAAGACTGACTTCCTTTGAAGGCAAATAACAACCTATTATATGATTCTGAAAAAGAAACCTTATCTATATATCACATATAACATGTACAATATCTTTCTCCCTTTACTGTGTTTATTTTATTTCATGAATAGCTTCAATTTTAGATCCTATCTAAGTTATCAAGTTTAACTTCTTTTTTCTCAGGAAGTATTGTGTAAAATTACTTGGGGATCTTATTAAAATTGATGCTAATTAACCTGACCATATTTATTTTCACACTCAGATAATATGAGTAATCCACGAGAGACATTGAACTTTAGACACGAGGGAAGTTAAAATGCCTATGACGCAAATAGAGGCATTAGAAAAAGATTATTGGACAATTTAAAACTAACTGACTGCTACTTTTTCCTGTTACTGTAGCTGATGTTCAACATCATGGTTTGTTTTTAATTAGTGGAAAAGGAGATGTTTGAAGACATTACAGAAATATGGTACCATGGCAGCCTGAGTGGAATGAAGACGGCTTAATCTTGCCAGTGCAATTGAGATTTTATTCATCTGTAAAATGAGAGGGTTGTAGAGCAAGATTTCTCAACTCCCTCCTTGTTCAAAACTGCCAGAAGTCCATAAATGCTAAGAAATTTAGTAATAATGAACATGCAAAATTAGCAGTCACCTGCTACCCTAATACCTGAAAGAATCAGACGGGATAAATAAAGAGCAGGCAGTGTTTCTAGGCCACATAGGGTGACCAGGTTTTCTCAGTACTGAGAGTTTTCCCCAGGACTTAGGATTTTCAGTGCTAAAACGTGGACAGTCTGAGGCAAACCAGGAAGACTGGTCATTCTAAGGCCAGAAGTTTAGTTCATGAGATATAAATGAAAGGCTTTTTATCCTGTAAATATGATAAATCTTTTTGCAAATTGAGAGATAAAGCTGGAATTCCTAGATTTTTGACAGGTGGCTGACACATAACAACTTACTTCCAAATTTCTAAAATATTCCAAACATGATTGGAATATAAAATAACATTTGAGAGAAAAGACCCTGACCTTTTTAGGTGGCATATGAGTAGAATAAAGGACAGCAGAACACTCAAGACAGAATATAGATGTAGATAAACATCTTTATTAGAGAGGAACCTGGGGGTTTTATTGCATATAAAACTGAATAATATATAGTACTTCAAACTCATCAGCCCATCAGGAAACAAATTATTTAAAAAGAATCTAGTGCTTCCTAAAATAAAGACCTACAAACAAAACACCAGTTGACTTCTCTCCGGAGTACACATGGATTTGCTTAGCAATCATAGTTAATTACCTCCTTCCCAGTCTTTACTTCTTACCCTCAAATATGTCTGCCTCATGGACTTAGGCAAGAACAAGGATCCATTCAGAGTACTTCTAAAGATTAACTCATAAAGTTAGGGAATTATTTCATTTGCCCTTAAAGTTAATATGAAAGATACTACAAGGTTAAAAAAAAATGTACATTTGACTAGCAAGGGTCCTGGGAATATAGGGGAATGAAGCACCAGGAATCTTTCTCTCCACCCAGCCAACAATTACATTGCAACAGTATGTTTGATAAAACAATTTTGGAACTTCAGTTCATTGAAGGTTTGCAACTTCCAGGAGGAATACTTGAATATGGTAGCAATTAATTCTGATCAACCTCAGCTCCACCTATCCTCCTCCTACCCCATCTCCTAGCAAAAGATAAGCATGTGGTCCTGAAGCAGCTTACACAAGCTTGTGGGAGCCAGGAGACAGGGGGAAATACCTGTCCTGCAAATATCAAGGGTCTGTGCACTGATCAACTGATTGTTGCTTCTGATCTTAAAGGGGAAATAAAGAGACAGTGGCCACTGTAGTTTCGCTTTCTTCTGTTGTTGTAAACCCCTCCCCATCTTTGGCAGGAGAGACTTCCAGGGGATTTTTTTTATTAGCATATATTATTTGTGCAAAGAAGTTTAACTGTGATACTTTCACATATACATAAAATATACTTCCATCAAATTCACTCCTCTCTCCTTTTCCCTCATTCCTCCTTCTCCCTTCTTAAAACAATTTCAACAGGCTTCATAATTCTATTTTCATACATGGGTATAAAATACTTCAGTAATATTCACACACTCCCCTTCACTTTCTCCTTTTACCCTCCCCGCTCCTGCTGATACCCACTCTCAAACAGGACCTATTTTATATTCTTGTAAACAACTGAAATCACTGAGATTTAGCAGAAAGAAAAATACAGTGAGGAAAAATGAACAGAGCCTAAGGAGAGGCCATCACACAGACCAACATGTGTATTATCGGAGTTCCAGAAGAAGAGAGAAAAGGAGCAGAGAACATTGTTGAAGAACAGTAAATAATGATTCCTCAAGTTTGATGAAATACTTGAATCGTAAACATCCAAGAAGCTTAACAAACTCCAAGTAGAATGAGCTCCAAGTTACCCACACTGAGACACACTGTAATCAAACTGTCAAATGACAAAGACAAAAAGAGGCTCTTGAAAGCAATCAAAGAGAAGTGACTCATCACATACAAAAGACCCTCAATAAGAATATCAGTATAGTTCTCATCAGAAACTTCAGAGGCCAAAAGGCAGTAGGCTGGTATATTTAAAATACTAAAAGAAAAAATTATTAACCAAAAATCCATTACATGGCAAAATTATCTTGCAACAGCAAGGGAGCAGCCTGGTGCCAGTGGCTCAAGCCTGCAATCCTAGTTATTTGGGAGGCTGAAATCAGGGGAATCACAATTCCAGGCCAGCCCAGGCAAATGGTTTGAGAGACTCCATCTCCAAAATAACATGAGCAAAGTGGACTGGAGGTGTGGTTAAAGTGGTAGAATGCCTGCTTTGCAAGCATGAAGTCCTGAGTTCAAATCCCAATCCTACCCAAAAAATAAAAAGTGAAGGAGAAATTAAGACATTGTCAAATAAACAAAACAAAGGGATTTTGTTGCCACTAGAACTGCCCTGTAAGAAATGCTCAAAAGAGTCCTTCAGCCAATTGATCAAAAAGAAAATTCAGGAATTCCGATTCCATTTTACTCAAATTTTTTTGTTCATTGTGGATTATTTTTGCCTTAACTTTGTTTCATTTTGTCTGCTTTTTTTTAATATTGCATTAAAGCCAGGTACATCTTATTCCTGTGACACATTTCCAAAGATGTCCATCCCATATCCAATGAAGTACTGTGTCTTGACAAAATTTAAATCTCTGAATTCACCAAAACCGTCTTCCCAGCTTCTTCATGTCTGCCTCATAACCCTATAGTGTAGGAAGAAAGAAAAGGAAACAGAAATTTTCTAAGCCCTCCATTTCATCCCCATCTTAATTATGCCAAAACCTTAGCTTCATAGCTTCAGACATGCTGTACTGTCTCTACAGAATATTTTCTTGCTTTACCAGCAAACTTCTACTCAACCTCTAGGGCTCAGTCTGCATATTCCTTCCATACAGACCTTCTCTGACCTCGAGATCACATAGGTTCCCCCTGCTATGTGCATTTATGGAATTCTATACCTGCTTTTCTATCTCTCATTATGCATAATCATTACTACTAGTTCCATTTGATATTTTCCATATTAGTCTACAAACTCCATGAGGGCAGTAGCCACAGCCTCCTCGTTCTTTATTATGTATGTAGTCCTAACGTAGTGCCTGGTGCTTAGCCAACACCCAATAAGGAATTGTATAAGGGAGGGGGACAGTCAGTGAACATTAAACACCATCTAAACAGAACTTATGTGGTTAATGAACAATTGAGCAAATACTCTTTTGCTAAATAACCAGAACTCCCCCACCCTAATGCTGCACATATAACAGGCAAAGAACAGCCCATTTGTTGGCTTGCTTGGCTATTCTGAGGCTTCCAGTGTCTTGGCAGACCCTGTAGGACCATCTGGTCTTTAGCATCCTCCTGAAATTCATTTCTGCTCTCTGTGATCATATTCTCTACCCATTGATCTTTTCCAGAATGTAAGATCTTACTTGCTGTTTTCTGGCTACAGCATCGCACCAAATAGTAGTACAGAATGGCTTCACACAGCAATAGGGAAGAAATTCAAGTTTTCAAAATACCCAAAGCTCATCATAAAGAGTAAGGAAACCTTCCCCACATAGGTTTGTAACATTCTCAACAGAATATGCTGATAAAACAGAATGCTCACATTATACATGGTATAAAACCAACACATTTTTTTTCATGGTCAATGATTTAAAATACGTCTAGTTCCTTTATTTCAAAAGTCATAATGGGTCTAACTTTTAAAGTGTGTATTGAAAACTGATGGGTATATGTAACAAAAGTCAACGGACTCACACTGATAAACATAGAGCTGAATACTTCAGGAAAAGAAAGAGCACTTTTCTGCCCTGGGAAAATGAGGACTCTTAGCACACATACTTAGCACAAAATATCTAGTTTCTTGTACTCCCCTAAAAGTGCAAAGTATTCAATTAAGAATAAAATAGGGAATAAAGAACTTCACTAACAGAGTGTGTATGTGGTCAATAATCCCTATTAGCACATTAGAGCTTGTCAGAGTAAACCCTAGAACTTTTCCTGACCATATATCCTTACACGTACTGAGGAAGAACTGATAGAGCTAAGAAACATCACCTGTAAATTAGCATCATCTATAAAAATACTGAAGCCTTCAGTACTACAACGTGGTGGAGCTGAATGTAAATCTTGAAAGCATTTTTCTGTATCATAATAAGCACAAGCCCTATTTATAATAGACACACACTACTTGATGCCACCCTTCACTACACAAGATCTTACAATAGATGTGAGCATCTTTCCAAGCCATTTTTCCCTAGCATCTTTCCCTGTAAACGTCAACGTGAACAATGGGTGGTTACATGCAGGCAGAATAAAACATCCTATCATTTAAGACCCGATACTCCAACTGCTTCCCAATTGCAAAGGATAAAACTTCCTTGTAGAAGGCTGATGCATCTTCTTGTTCTGTGTCCCCACTCTTGCCTTTCCCTGCAATGCCATCTCCTCATATTTTTCTTCCAATTAAAAATTCATAAGGAAAATCTGTGCACCAAAAGGTACAATGAGGGATGCATTTTATATTTTTTCCAGAGCGGACAGAGTTACCAGCCCCAGAGATTTTTTTTTTTTTACCAGTCTGGCTGATGGTTTGGTGCCAACACCAACTGCTGGTTAAATCATCTCATCAGCCAGGATGAGGCTTTTTGTTCTCTTGCTTTGTGATTTCATTTTTTGAACATTTAAAGTTGCCAACAATCCCAAATGGTGTCTCATCACTTCGCTCCAATTTGTTTCTATTTGAAGATTTAAAAAAAATTGTATTTGGATCAAATTTCAATAAGATGCATAAATGATACACCACTGTAAGACCAACAAATAGATGTTTTCCTATAATGATTTCAAAAGGAAATTTTTTAATCAATTCACAAAAAGGAAAATGCATCTCTGCACTCTTTTATCACCTATATTTATCATTGACAAACACTAGTAATGATTTATTGAGTGCTCACCAGGATCACAAGAGGAACTCTCGGAATTTAAATTAGCAAAGCTAGACTTATGCAGTTTATCAATTCAGAACAAGGTCAGAACATTCGCTTACAGAAATAAAAAGCCTCTTTTGTTCCTAACCATTTATGATTTAACTCTTTTTAAAGACAAAAAATGGTTAAAATGCAAGACTTATTTCCATACATGAGTTGCTGACTTACAATAGGTCAAGCATCGGTGCTCAGGTTTATAGCCAGAAGTTATAAAACAAGTGTGGGTATCTGTAAAAAGGAAAGGTAACAATTACTTGATTATCTCAAACAATATAAAGAAATTTGAGTGACAAATGATACTTGCAATACTTAAATCTATATAGGAATTTCTTCTACCTCTCTTTTGGGTTCTGTTTTCAGCATTCTACTTCTAGGTTTCTGCATATTATTATTGATGTAATATGATGTGCAAATTCCCATTCACTGGAAAAATATGTAAATCAAAGATTTCTTCCTATAAAAATGTATAAGAAATTTGTCTCAGCAAACCTCCTTTTAAGAAAGGGGAGAGGTGGTCTAAATAATGTATACATATGTAAGTAAAAACAATAAAATATTTTTTTTAAAAAATGATAGTCTATAAATGTTGCTACTAATCTTTTGGGGGATTTAAAATACATAAGTACAAATAACTGTTTACTTATTTATCAAAATGAAATTGTTCTTGTGCAAAAATAGAATCTTACTGAAATATAGAAAAATACAAACTCCTTGAAATTCATCAACAGTGAGAGTTTTAATTCTGCAGGGGAAAAAATCATACTTATAATGAGTCTTAGAATAGAAATTATATCCAGAGTATTCTTATTTAGCGGACTTTGTGATTCCTATTTACAAGTTATCTTGTATCTTTTAATGAGAATTATCCTTATATTGCCTTACTGGGTAGATCTACATACAGTCCATTGTAGTTCTCAAAGATTTAACAGTTATTATACAAATGCAATTTAAAAAGTTTATGATTATTTTAGTTTTTATTATAGATATTGTTATATTTGGGAGAGGGGAGACTTTGGCCAATACATTCAGTTTTAGAAAATGAGTGTGAAACTAGTATTTGGAGCCAGGTCCTAAAAGGGACATGCAGTATTTCTTGAAACCCATGTCTTTGTATTTTTTGTCCCTGTAAAAGAAATGAAATTTTCAGAATTTCCATAAAGTAGAGAATAATAACTTTGGCTAACTCAGAGCAAGCTATAGTCCCAGTGATAGCAGCATGAGAATTTGAGATTCAACCAACACAGCCCTCTCATTTCATCCACAAGATGAATGCATCACAATTTCAAAAGCATTCCTCAATGTGAACACTGTTCTGTGTGAATTCTCCTTGTGTTCAACATCCCTATTTGGCTCCACTTCCTTCTGTATCTCTAGCTATAATCATCACAGTAACTGAGTCATTTGAAGTAGCAAATCTCTGTCCAACACTTACTAATTATTTCAGGCTTGAAAAGAAAAAGCCACTCTGAAGAGGTTCTACCTTTAGCCCTCTCATTCTACCTTTAGCCCCAAACCTTATCTCTTTTAGTAGCATCTGTGTGTGTTTGGCTGAATAATACTTAACAAAGAGCAGAATACAAAACAGTTTTTGTAAGAGTGAAAATAGAGTCACTAAAATCTCTCAGGTCACAAAGTCCCTCCACTCCAACTAATGACCTCTCACTATCTTTACCTGCAAATGTACATATTTACTTGCTAATAAAACATTCATTTAGGGATAGTTTTAAATAGAAGGTAGAATAGGCTCATGGAGACCTCAGATAAGTTAAAACATACATTTTAAAAGGCCATTTTAATTTTATTTAATGTTAGTGGAATTATTGAGTGTTATTCAATTCTTATAGAACATATTTCAAAGCAATGCTCATACCCCATTATTAATAATGGTCTTAGATGATGTTAATTCTATCATTTCCTTGAATTAATATAGAATTCTCAACACATAGCAAAGCCTATCTTGCCTGTGAAGCAGAAGTGAAATTGTTTTCCATTCCTTTTTGAACACACAAAGACACACAGCTGCAGCCAAGAGCCACAAGTAAGTCCCTGTGTAGACTTCACTACCAAAATAAGGAGTAGTATGCCTTCAACTAGGCTAATAACCATTAGTTATAGCAAAAATGAACAGAATGCTGACCATGTGTCAGGCACTGCACTATAAGATTTTTACACTTAAAAAACAATTATATAAGCTAAAATAAGGAATCTGAGTCTTAGAGAGTTCTTAGAGTTTGAGAAAAAAATTCATACGCCTAGAAAGAAGCAAAGCTAGAATTCGAGTTCAAGTTCTCTTACCCTTGAGCCCCATTCTCTGTTCTCCTAGTCACAGTATCTTTACTAATTTCCTAAAAAAAAAAAAAAAGAAAGAAAGAAAGAAAAGAAAAAGAAAAAAAAACTTAGAAAATCTTCCATCATCATTTCAGAGCTTGAAACTTGTCTGTAAGATGCCATGTTTTTAGTTCAAGTATTAATTTATGACAATCCATAAACAAAGACCTATTTAATGTTACCATTGTAATGACAGCATTGTGAATAGGACATTATTCAAAATAGAAGTGGGACACCTAATGCAGCCTGAAGCAAGCATCCGAGGTAGTGGAATAAGGTGGGTGACACCTGCACTGAGGTTCAATAAATTTTGTTGAGGAGAATTCCAAGATGGTGGCTAGAGGTAGGAAGCAGAAAGCGTGCCTCTTATAGTGAAATCTTGGAGAGACGCTGGGGACACACCTTGCAGGCAAAACCACCAAGAAGAGGCAAAACTTTGACCCCTCCACACCTCCAGCTGGTGCAGAGAATCTCCACTTCACATTAAACAGAGAAACCAGGAGGGACCCAGGGCTGCCAGTCGCCCGCACCCAGACGGCTTGGGAACATGCGGACAAGGTGAGTTAAGTGGTACGCAGTACTCCCACAGACAAGCCTGGGCCAGAACAGCACAGCCTCCTGGACAGACCGACCCCCACCCAGGGAAAAAAGAGAAACTGAGTAATAAGCAATAAGTACAATAAAGACACGTAGCAAAGAGGGTGGGGTGCCCTAAGTGCTGAAGAGGGGGGGGAGGGGAATCCTTCCTGAAACTGTAAATAAACAGGCCAGCCTGGCCGGAGAGGCTCCGGCGTGAGCGGGGTCACGCCCAGCAACCAGGAGCGGGAAAGCTAGTGAGAATGGCGGAGGGAGGAAAACTCCACAGGAGGGGGGGAAGACCCACCTCCCACGTGAGCTGTAAACAAACACGCCAGCTCGCCAGCTGGCAGGAGCAGCACCACACGCCTAGCAAGCAGGAGCAGGAAAGATTGTAAAAGCAGTGGTGGGAGGAAAACTCCACAGGAGAAGGGGGAAGACCCACTTCCCATGTGAGCTGTAAACAAACATACAGGCCAGACAAAGCGGGTGCAGTGAAACCTCCCCTAGTGTGCTTGGAAAGGGGAAAGCTTGTAGCAGCGGCTCGCACACAGGAGAACTCTGAGTAAAGAAAGCCTGCAGGGCCAGGTGAGTGCTAAGCTCACCCCAGAGATCTGCATAAATAACGGCTCCAGCAACAGCAGGCTGACAGCAGCGGGCAGGCAAGCCACAGCCGCAGATAGCCATTCACAGAACTGTCTCCAGACTCTTTTTTTTTCTCTCTCTCTCCCTACCATTGATGAGAAAACAACCAAACTACACATGCATGCTGAAAAACTTACTGAAACTGTATTGCATTTGAACTTGGGACACTTTGTGGGTTTTTTTTTCTTTGTGCAGTTTTGCTCTACTTTATGCATCCCCTTTGATGAGACAACTACAGAACAACATCTGAGGCACAATCTCCAGAAATGGAGGCTGAGACAGACAACAAAATAATTAAGACTGAAACTTCATTGCATTTGAACTTGGAGGTTTATTTTTTTTTAATTTTCTATTTTTCATTTTGTTTTATTTTACTTTTATATATACATAATTTTTCTTCTTTCATTTACTTATTTTTTATTTTGATTCTTGTCTTTATTCTTTTTATTTTTTATTTTCAATCCTTTCTCTGTCTCTCTAATGCCTGTTCAGCTTACTGTCGATTAGTACACTAACGCTCCCTGTTTATACCTTTGCAACTTTTTTGTTTCATTCTTTGTTTTGTTTTTTCATGCTTGTCTGTTTATTTGTTTTTCCCTTCTTCTTTAAATCTTCACTTTCCATCTCCTCTCACCCTTCCATTCTAAATATCACCATTGTTATTATTACAACCTAGAAAATACTTAATCACACTCAGTACAACGACAGTAACAACACCAATAGCAATGACAGGAAGACAGAAAAAACAGGGAAACCAGTTTCCTGACAGCAAAAATTTAGTACAGGAACCAGAGGGATATGAAGAAAACAGATACTCAAATCCAGACTCCAACAAAATGAAGATAAACTATGCCAAAGAATCCAATGAAGCCCAAAAGAATAATTTAAAAGAAGAAATACTATAGGTACTCATGAGAATTTTATAGAGATGATACTGGACATGGTCAACCAAAATGTACAGGAGACACTCAAGAAATTCCAAGACAACAAAAATAGAGAATTTGAAAAAGCAAAAGAAGAAATAAAGGAAACCATAGAAGCACTGTATAAACACCAAAGTGAAACAGAGAACACGATTAATAAACAGATAAATGAACTCAGGACACAAATAGACAACATTAAAGAGGAAAACACCCAGGATATGGAAAACCTCAGAAAAAAGAATGAAACAGAACTGCAAAACAAAAGGAAGGCCAATCCAGCAGAATAGAACAAACAGAAGACAGAATCTCAGAACTTGAAGATGAAATGGTAATTAAAGGAAAAACCAAGAACTAATAATTAAACAACTCAAGACCTGTGAAAAGAAAATGCAAGAACTCACTGACTCTATCAAAAGACCAAAGTTGAGAATCATGGGCATCGAAGAAGGAGAAGAGGTGCAAGCAAGGGAATGCATATATTCAACAAAATAATAACAGAAAATTTCCCAAATCTAGAGAAAGATATTCCCATACAGATGCAAGAGGCCTCCAGGACACCAAACAGACCAGATCAAAATAGAACTACCCACGACATATCATCATTAAAACAACAAGTTCAGAAACTAGGAAAGAATATTGAAGGCTGTAAGAGAGAAAAAACAAATAACATACAAAGGTAAACCCATCAAAATCACAGCAGACTTCTCAACAGAAACATTAAAAGCAAGAAGAGCTGGGGTGAGATCTTCCGGGCACTGAATGAAAATAACTTCAACCCCAGGATACTCTACCCAGCAAAACTATCATTCAAAATAGATGGAGCAATAAAAGTCTTCCATGATAAGCAGAAACTAAAACAATATGTGACCACAAAGCCACCACTACAAAAGATTCTTCAAGGGATTCTGCACACAGAAAGTGAAACCCAACTTAACCATGAAAAGACAGGCAGCACCAAACCACAGGAAAAGAAAAAGCAAGACAGTAGAGAGTAACTCAACTTAGGTACACACAATCAAACCTTCAAACAACTAAGACAACTAAATGACAGGAATCACCACATACCTATCAGTACTAACACTTAATGTTAACGGACTTAATTCACCCATCAAAAGGCACGCTTGATGAAATGGATTAAAAAGGAAGATCCAACAATTTGTTGCTTACAGGAGACCCATCTCACGACAGAAATAAGCATAGGCTTAGGATGAAAGGCTGGAAGAGGATTTACCAAGCCAATGGCCACTGAAAACAGGCAGGAGTATCAATACTTATCTCTGACAAAGTAGACTTCAAACCTACATTGGTCAAACGAGATAAAGAAGGACATTCCATACTAATAAAAGGGGAAATAGACCAAAAGGAAGTACTATTCATCAACCTATATGCACCCAATGTCAATGCACCCAATTTAATCAAACATACCCAGTAACACCTAAAAGCATATATAACTTCAACAGTGGTTGTGGGAGACTTTAACACCCTATTACATATAGGTCATCCAAACAAAAAATCAATAAAGAAATCCAAGATCTAAAATATGCAATAGATCAAATGGACCTAGTTGATTTCTACAGAACATTTCATCCAACTTCTACACAATATACATTCTTCTCAGCAGCCCGTGGAACCTTCTCCAAAATAGATCATATCCTAGGGCACAAAGGAAGTCTCAGCAAATATAAGAAAATAGAAATTATACCATGCATATTATCTGATCACAATGCAGTAAAAGTAGAACTCAACAACAAAGGTAAAGACAAAAAACATGCAAACAGCTGGAAACTAAACAACTCATTACTTAATGAACAATGGATCATCGATGAAATAAAAGAGGAAATTAAAAAGTTCCTGGAAGTCAACGAAAATGAAAACACAACCTACCAGAACCTATGGGACACAGCAAGGCAGTCCTGAGAGGAAAGTTTATAGCCATGAGTGCATATATTAAAAAGACTGAAAGATCCCAAATCAATGACCTAATGATACATCTCAAACTCCTAGAAAAACAAGAACAAGCAAATCCCAAAACAAATAGAAGGAGAAATAATAAAAATAAGAGCTGAAATCAACGAAATAGAAACCAAAAAAACCATACAAAGAATTAATGAAACAAAAAGTTGGTTCTTTGAAAAAATAAACAAGATCGATAGACCCCTGGCAAACCTGACTAAAATGAGGAGAGAAAAAACCCAAATTAGTAGAATCAGGAATGCAAAAGGGGAGATAACAACAAACACCATGGAAGTCCAGGAAATCATCAGAGACTACTTTGAGAACCTATATTCAAATAAATTTGAAAATCTTAAAGAAATGGACAGATTTCTAGATACATATGATCATCCAAAACTGAACCAAGAGGAAATTAATCACCTGAATAGATCTATAACACAAAATGAAATTGAAGCAGCAATCAAGAGTCTCCCAAAAAGAAAAGTCCAGGACCTGATGGATTCTCTGCTGAATTCTATCAGACCTTTAAAGAAGAACTGATACCAACCCTCCTTAAACTGTTCCATGAAATAGAAAGGGAAGGAAAACTGCCTAACACATTTTATGAAGCCAGTATTACACTTATCCCAAAACCAGGCAAAGACACCTCCAAAAAGGAGAACTATAGGCCAATCTCCTTAATGAACATTGATGCAAAAATCCTCAACAAAATAATGGCAAACCGAATTCAACAACACATCAAAAAGATTATTCACCATGACCAAGTAGGCTTCATCCCAGGGATGCAGGGGTGGTTCAACATATGAAAATCAATAAACGTAAAAAAATCCATTAACAGAAGCAAAGACAAAAACCACTTGATCATCTCAATAGATGCAGAAAAAGCCTTTGATAAGATCCAACACCATTTCATGATAAAA